ATTGCTGAAAGATGAGTTAAACCTTGAAGGAGCCACCAAAAAGGATAAAGAAGCCCTTCGAAGGTTTTTTATGGGATTCTTAGTAAGAGGAGATCTCCTGTTCAAAAAGTCCTTCGATGGCATCATTCTATGGTGTTGTGAGCAGCCATAAATAAACCAAGTACTGATAGAGTTACACAATGAAGGAGGTCATTCTGGCGCAATCGCCTTAGCACAAAAAATCAGGTGTTAAGACTATTACTGAACCACCATGGATGAAGATTGTTGGAACTTCGTAAAGAGGTGTCCTAAATGTCAGCTTTATGGAGACCTCATCCATGCACCGTCCATACCACTCAACTCAACACCGCATGTGGCCCTTTGTCATGTGGGGTATTGATATCTTCGAAATGATCTCACCGAAAGCCTCAAACGACCATCGTTTTATATTAACGGCTACAGAGTACTTCACTAAATAGGTAGAGGCCGTATCATTTGTCAAAATTGAGGGACAACATGTTGCCTGTTTCATAAAAAACAACATTGTATTCAGGTTCGGTGTTCATGAGTCAATCATTACTGACAATGGATCCAATCTCAAAAATGAAAAGGTCTTTAAGGTATGCAAAAAGTTTGGGATAAAGTAGAAATTCGCCACACCTTATTACCCTCAAGGAAATGGACAAGCAGAGGCTACAAACAAAGGACTTCTCAGAATTATAGACAGAATAATATAAGGTGGCAAAGATTGACACGAAAAGCTAAATGACGCGTTATGGGCCTACCGGACATATGAGAGATTCCTACTGGCATGACCTCATACTCATTAGTGTATGATATGGAAGCAGTGCTACCCATTGAAGTTGAGATACCGTCTCTACGAGTGCTTATTCATAAAGATTCAGATGAAGAACAAAAGATCGAAGCACGAATCGCTGCCCTCGTTAATTTGGATGAAGGACGACTACGAGCAACAAAAAATATTCTTGCTTACCAATGGAGAATCAAGAGGGCATACCAAAGTACAGTTGTTCCTTGACAGTTCAGGGAAGGGGACATGGTACTCATATAAATCTTCTACACTCTTGCAAACCCACACCCTTTAGGTAAGTTCAAACCTAATTGGGAGGGGCCATTCGTGGTCACCCAAGTGCACGCAGGTAATTCTTACAAGATCAAGAATCAGGAGGGGTGCGAGCTCAACGATCCCATCAATGCGATGTATCTCAGAAAATACTACCCATAACGGGCTCAAAAGAGTGGTGAAAACCTGCAAAGGAATAAAAAAATAAAAAAATAAAAAAAATACAAAAAAAAATAGAAGAAAAAAAATGGACGTGGTGAAAACCTGAAAGGGCATCATGGGTAAAAAAAATAAAAAATAAAAACTCCAAGAATGAGCTTTTGATTAAAAAACACTCAACTACAAATAAGTACTTACAAGTTCCAATAATACGACACAAGCAAACCCTGAGGACGAAGACTTCTAAACCCTGCAGGTTCCCAATAGAACCAACTTAGAAAGATGCAGGAGCGTGATATGCATGGACAATCGAAGTGACTTCGACGAATCCTAGAAGAAACATCGGGACATCTTCAAGATGGAAGCTCAGCAAGAATCTAGAGAACCCTTCATGGACCCGTGAAGCACAGAATGAAAGCTCTAAAGGTAAAAAGACAACTTTGAGACTTTTGAGTTCTCACGATCCCACAAGAAAATCCTTTCATCATCTTTGGGTAAAATAAAATAAAGAAAATGACCACCAAAAGGGCCACAAGTGACAAAACTATAAGGCCCATCCCTTTTAAAAGCATTTTTCCAATTTGATTGTTAAAACCCTCCATTTCCAAAACCCTTTTAGAAAGGACTTCCTCTACCACTACAGGAGGTTAAACTGTTAGTCGATATGGCCTCGTTCTCGAAGCTAACTTCCTATGCTTGTTATGAAGGCTTGAAATTAGCCAGACACTCCATGGTTGTCTGAGTATAACTATCAACTACCACATATTGGAGATGGGTGAACCTCGCCAATGGCGATATTGGCTTAATCTGAGAGCTTTTTCTCTCGACTGGATCCCCTGAGGCAAAATGAGGCAAGCTCATCTTTGGGTTTATGTACAATGTCCCAAAGTTCAATTAAAAAAACGTCAAACTCGTGCGACATAAAAGAGCCGAGACAAGAAAAACATCAAACTCGTGCGATGTAAAAGAGCCGAGACAACATAAAACGTCAAACTCGTGCTACGTAAAAGAGCCGAGACAGGATAAACGTCAAACACATGTGATGTTAAAGAGCCGAGACATGATAAACGTTAAACTCATGCAACGTAAAAGAGACAAGACTGGATAAACGTCAAACTCGTGCGACGTTAAAGAGCCAAGACAGGATAAACGTCAAAAATCGTGCGATGTAAAAGAGCCGAGACATGATAAGCGTCAAACTCGTGCGACGTTAAAAAGCCGAGACAGGAAAAATGTCAAACTTGTGTGATGTTAGAGAGCCAAGACAGGAAAAATGTCAAACTCGTGCAACATAAAAAAGCCGAGATAGGGACAGTCTAGCCCCGTATGACGTGAAAGGTCGGGTGTATCCAGGGCACAACCACCCTGTTCAATAGAAAAACATCAAACTCGTACGACGTAAAAGAGCCGAGATAGGGACCGTCCAACCCCATATGACGTGAAAGGTTGGTTGTATCCAGGGCACCACCACCCTGTTCGATGAAAAAACGTCAAACTCGTGTGATGTAAAAGAGCTGAGGCAGGTATCATTTATTCCCGTATGATGTAAAAGATCAGGTGTATCCAGGACACAACCACCCTGTTCGATGGAGAAACGTCAAACTCGTGCGACGTAAAAGAGTCGAAGCATGTACCATCTATCCCCGTATGATGTAAAAGGTCGGGTGTATCCAGTGAACAACCACCCTTTTCGATGAAAAAACGTCAAATTTATGTGACGTAAAAGAGCCGAGGTAGGTACTGTCTAGTCCCGTATGAGGCAAAAAGGTCGGGTGTATCCATGGCACAACCACCCTATTCGATGGATTCCATCTATCCCTGTATTAACATAAAAGAGTAGGGTGTATGGTCCATCGCTGCATGACGTTAAACTGCTTAGAGGGCTCTATGGTTGCAGAAGTTAAAACTGCTAACAAACCTTATTTTTCAAAATATCTTTATTTTTTCAAAATTTTCACTATATGGCTTGTGTTTTTCAAAAACTTTAATTTCTTTGTTAAAATTGTAACATGTCCTTGCTCCGGGTTCTATTTCAAATCTCCCCTTACTTTCAAAAATTCTAAAAAAGTCTTAAAAAACGAAGGAGCTTGGACACCCATATATGATGATTACCGCGTTGCCGCGATTGCCACGTTGCTGCCTTGTCTCTCATTTCGGATTCGACCAGCTCCTTATAAAACTTTTTTCTATAGACAGCCTTAGGAAACCTTAAGGAGATCAAAGAAAATGCCAGGGTTAAAAAATTTAAACTACAAAAACCCACGAAGTTAAGTGGTATGGCTAGAAAATCAAACTCGAGTTTCAAGCTTGTATAACTCACCGATATCTCATGCCAAAAGCCCTAAGAGGAAAACTCCCTAGTGGGTGAGCTCAGTGAGTGCAATGACTTGGAGGAATAGTTGGTGTGCCCCCTGACTACGTGACCTCAAGAAGAAATTTAAAATGTCTACTTTATCTTTGACGTTCACCTGCCTATCGAAAGACAAGAAATGCCAAGGTGTCTAATTCTCTGCCACTCACCTATCCCTCGAAGGAGATGGAGTGCCAAAGAGGGGCAAAAGTAGACACCCCATTTTAAATCTTGCAAGTTATATGGTTTTTTGAATACTTAAGACCACATTATCCTAGTAGAACTAATTTAATTACCTCAAAACTACCCAAATCCTATCCCAATTTGAAGTAGATCCCAAGAGCTTTCTAATGATTCAAGATTCACCTGAATCGAACTTACGGATAAAATGATATAATAAATGACAATTTAGTCCCACGTGAGACCAACTGTTGGGCCGCGGGCCGGGCTGTAATGGGCCCGACAGGTCCATAAGAGGGCTGATGATCCAGTAAATATATTTTTTTTAATTATATAAGGCTAAAACTACAAGATAAATCTAAAAAATTATAAAAAAACTCCAAAACATTTAGGAAAAATCACCAATTGAATCTTATAAATAATCCATCTCCCTAACCAAAAAACAGAGGAAAAAAGAGACAAAAAAAATTGTTTTTTTTAGAAATTTCTGAAATTAGGAAAATTATCCAAAAATACCAAAAATAAGAAAAACCCTTAGAAAATTTCTAAAAATTTAGAGAAAATCCCCAAAAATCCAAAAAAATTAGAGAAAATCTCAAAATTCATATTCAACCTCTGGAGATCATAAAACCCTTAGAAAACTAAGGAAATTATCCTCTAGACCCCAAGAAAGATCGATAGCTTTAAAAAATCTCTAGAGTGAAAGCCCTAGAGAAGATAGAAACCCTAACCTCCTGAAGTCCTAATCCCTAAGATTGAGAAAACCTAGACCTAGGACACAAAAACCCTAGATCAAAATTAGAATTAGAGCACAACGATCATTGATCTAACCCTTTACATCAGAGATCTGCTGGTCAACATCTGAATCAGAGAGGCAAAGATGACCGATTCTGATACAGGCGAGCCCTCAAAGGCTCGAGAATTTCGAGCCATTCGGCCTGGTTTGGTATTATTTATTCATATCTCTTTCTTCTTATTTTTACTGTTTTTATTCTTTTATTTATTTTTTGATATGTTAACTTGAATTAAAGATCATATTTTAATACTCTGATTCATGCTAGCTTTGTCACATATCTGAAAGTAGATCAGCTCGTTTTCGAACAAATTTAATTTTACATATGAATTCGATCTCTCCCACTTTATTTACACTTTTTTAATTAATTTGAAACGTTAAAATTCGAAAGATCCCCATCGAAAGATGTGCCAAATCTTTTATCATAGACACTTAGGCGACCTCAATGACCATGCATTGTTATTTCCCCCGCGCTTCAGACTTTATTGTTGCCTGCAACGGGTAGAAGGGATTCACGTTTAGAAGGTCAAAGGGTTCGGGTGCCTCAGACTTCTTCTTCTGGGGGATCTGCACACCCTTTTTGTGCTTGATCCTTAGATTCCAGTATACCCTTTCCCCCCAAAACTGGAATTGGGAGCGGGATTGTAGGCAGTTGACGCTCTTAAGCAGGCCAAAGCCACTTCCATTAATTGAGGCAGGGAGTGAGGTCCTAAAGGAGTCGGTTCTACAACTCTCTTGGATGGTCCTTGCTCAATTGGAAAGGATGGGGGATGCCTGATTCTTTTTATCATCAGGGCGCGCCTCGAGGCCGTGCTCGGGAACCAATGGGCACATGGGATTGTTGAGGGGAGAAGAGAAGGGTACTCGGTGCTAATGTCTTGAAGTACCATATGGTCATTGGTTTTGGTGGAACAAGTGGATTGAAGGGGGGAGAAGGTGCACACCACTGGCCTTTACCTTTAGAGCTCAGGATAGTCAGGGGATCGGGCTTCTGTGCACAACTTGCGAAGGGCTCTCGGGTGACTTAGGGTAGACCGGGGCTCAGGCAGAAAGCTCGGCTTTGGAAATGCCGATCTTACGAGCTGGTGCGCGTGATGAAGTGGCCTTGTGACCACTACTCACAGGGTGTACAGGCATGTGCAAGTGGGGTTGACGAGAAGGTCGTTGCCCGTGTGCTTGCTGGGGTGTGGCTTTTGAGTCGTCTGAAGCAGAGTGATGAAGATGCATCATGCTTGATGGAGCGACCTTCGAGTTGCCCTTGCTTGTGGGGCCAGGTCCAAGGAGACCTAACGTGTGATGGTGGACTGGGATAGCTTTGGGGTGCCCCAAGATGTGGTCCCAGCAGATGAACCACTAGTCTTTGTAAGTGGGTGATAGGGAGTAGCTTTAAAGCCTCTTTTTTTGTATCAACTGGCAGGAAGATTGGCGGTTCGGAGTGATTGAAAGTGGGGGGTGGCTTTATGGCGACCCACAAAGGCAATGGAGGTTAATTTTCCAATTGCGGAAGAGCAAGGGGTGACCTTGCCCCGAGTAGCAAGACCTGCAAGTGACTTGCCGGTTGTGGATGAATGCAGTAAGTGGAATGTGCAGTGCAACAGTAGTCTAGGTCACTACAATGTTTTGTTGGTTGCTACGTTGAGACCAGGTTTGGGAGTGAGCATCTCGTAATGGAATCTCAGAAACCAAGACAACCATTTTGGAGTTAATTATGGGAAAATTAGACTAAATTTCGTGATACATGGAGCAATGTTCACTAGAATATGTTCTGACTTATGTCAAAGGTTTCATCTTCCCATCGATTGATTTGCATCCCTATCAATAGGGAATTCAGTGCTGCCTTGAGAGAGAGAATCACTTGTGTGTAGATTTATTTTTTTGTGTATTGGAATACGCAAGAGAGAGAGAGAGAGAGAGAGAGAGAGAGAGAGAGAGAGAGAGAGAGAGAGAGAGT